TGCGTGCTCTTCTTATTAATATCTTCGGCATTTATTCTTTTTAGGTATTGCCCATGTAATTTTTTCTGTTCCCATTTGCCTATTAATTTATTCTGAGATTGGGCTTTGCTATTATAAGTTGCAAGTTGCCCCTCTTCCATTATCTCATTTTCTTTATTTTCTTGGACGATTTGTTTTGCCCTTTTCAGAACTCCTTTTTTTGTAGTTTTTTCTTCTGCATGTATAACTTGGGCTAAGATGGGGTCCTCTCGATGGGATTCTATGTATTTTCCCATTCCAATTATGGCATTCTGGTATGCCGCTTCTATTTGTCTTAATCCTCTTCCTCCATCTTTCCTGCTGACGTACAATCTATCCACATCAGCTTTTGGATGTAACGCACCATTCATGGTTAATATTTTTCTTGTCCTTCTATCTAGGTGCGTGATTTCTTCTTTCGTCCAGTCTACGAGGCCAAAACTATATTCTATTACAGGAACTGCTAATGTGCCGACGGCGGTTATCTTATTTCTTCCATTCAGTTCCGACTGTAATATAAGCCTCAATCTTTTAAAATACTCTTTCTTCAATCGCGGCTTGATTTCCTTTATTATTATTATTATTATTATTATTATTATTATTATTATTATTATTATTATTATTATTATTATTATTATTAATATTGTTTGGAAAAGAATTGTAAATTTAAATAACATACGCACACAGGAAAAAGAAAAAAAATAATAAACAATTAAACAAAATATTTCTTTTTTTTTTGTTGTTGTTGTTGTTGTTGTTGTACCTGAACCAATCATCAAGGTTAAGCTAAAAAAAAAAAAAAAATTGTCTCATTTGAGTAAAACGCAATGATGATGATGATGATGATGATGATGATGGGGGGGGGGTATTTAAAAAAAAATCATTTAGCTAAACTTTTTACTCATTTATCCGATTAATTAGGTCGTGAGTAATTTTTTTTCCCTCCCCAAAATATGTATATTTGTAATTTTCACCCGATTCAAATGTTTCACACACCGTTTAACTCTCTAAAAATTATAAAATAATAATAATAATAATAATAATTTTCGTCATTTGACCTGTGTCAGGTTTAAACTTGTGTGGAAAACCTTGAGCTCTTATTAACAATGTCATTACGTTAAGCCTTAAATTGCCGCGAATCGTTCATTATTCGATTTAAACATAAAAAAAAATTTATTTCTACCAATTATTTATTATTTAGACAATATCTATTTTTTTTTAAATGGCCTGGAATTACCTTCTTTTCCTCTAACTACCTCCTCTTTTATCCCCTCTCCCCTAACTGCTCCTAGTATTATCCCATCAATCCTTTCTCTCTCTCCTCTCTCTCTCTCTCTCTCTTTTATTAATCTTTTTTTTTTTTTTTTAAATTGAATAAGACAAAAGTAAAATGTGGGTCGTCAGAAAGTTTGTCATTGCTTTTTTTTTTTTCTTTCGTTTGTTCGTTTGTTTGTTTGTTTGTTGGTTGTATAAAAGATTTTACGTAAGATTTAACGTGTCAAAAAAAAAAGAAAATTTTTTTCTTACTATTATCATTATATCGTTACTAGTTTTTTTTTTTGTACAGACTTGCTGAAAATTTAATTTAAAAAAAAAAAAACAGTCAAGTATTAAACACGATAATAATAATAATAATAATAATTATAAAACACTCCCCTAATTAGAGAACTGAAATAAAAATAATAATAATTATAATAATTTAAAATTAAATATTATTATTTAAATAAATACAACAAAAGCAAAACAAAACAAATTAACAAATTGATATTATAAGAATTAAAACGTAAAAAAAAAAAAAAAAAAAAAAAAAAAATTTTAAACCGTTAAACGAATTTTTATATCGACTACTGAAGTGTCTTAACCCTCCAACACAACAAGAGCGAGAGAGAGAGCAAAAGAGAGAGAGAGAGATATAAACGGATTCAACTAAAAAGAAACTATGTCGCAACCAATGACAGGAAATTAACATCACATTTCATTACGTTTAACATTTCGTCTTAAAATCAAACTCACAAAAAAAAAAAAAAATTTTTCTTTTAAAAAGTAATTAAGGCTCATTTCATTTAATTTAATTATTATTATTATTATTATTGCTGAATATTTTACAATGAGATGACACCTTTATATGTTTATGAATTATCAGTTATAGGTAATAAAAATGTCAAAAAAAAAAATAATTTTTGAAATATTTAAGTTCAAATCGATAATTATTTGACAAGCACAAAATTTAAAAGGAAATTGAATGAAACTTGATGTGACTTGCATCGACAAAAACTAGTTAATTTTAAACTAATATTAAGAAGTTGCTTGAGCAATGAATAAATTAACAAAATTGTTTTCCCCCTTCCCCCCTTTTTAGAATATGTAAATATTAGTAAAAAAATTATAATTTATGTGATTTAAGTAAATATATTGGTAATTAATAATTTTTTAACTGTGTATATAAAGTTTTATTTATTAAAAAAAGAAATTTTATGTATACATATTAGGTAATAATTTTAATATAGTTTGTAAACAAGCCAAAATATCGAATAAATATTATTATTATTCATGTTACATAAATTTTCGGTAAAAAGAAATTTTTTAATGACAATTTAGTTTCTTTTTTATTATAATTATTATTATTTATATAACAACAAATTTAAAATTTTTTTTTTTCGGTAAGAATGGAACATTCTAATGTAAATTTCAAAATGGAGTATAAATCGTTTAAAATTAAATTATAATTTTTGCTCCTTATACAAATGGTTAGAGCTTTTAGAAGAAAAAAAATTTTCAGATAGACAAATTTATAAATTGGAATAGTTACAAAAAAAAAAAGTTTTTTAATTAATGTAGTAACATTTGCAAAATTTATACAAGTTTTTTTCTTTTTTAATTATGATTAACTTTTTTTTTTTTTTTGTTAATTAAAGAACAAAAGAAAATCATTTTACCTGAAATCCTGTATTGCGTAGAATCTAAGGTAATGTATATACCTTAGGCAAGGGAAAATTTTTTAAAAATAATAATTTACTAAATTAGTTTTTCCAGTACGTGGAAAATTATTGAAAAACCATAACGCGGCGTTATTATAATTCTTAGTATTTGAGTTGAAAACTGGAGCACTTATAAAATTAGTTTATGGCTTACTTTTTTGTTTTCATTCACTAAACACGTAATTTAAAGACTTTTGTTTAACAAAAAAAAAAAAAAGAAAAGATTAGAGTTATTATTGTGTATTATTATAATGTAAACAGTTAAGTATTGTAATATCAAACAACACAAAATTGAATAAAAAAAAAAAAAAAAAAAAAAATTAAATTATATAAAATCTTTTCAAATTTAAACTTAAATCTCAGAATGTAACTTATAAACTACGCACAGGTTTCTCAATTTTTTCGTTTTTTTAAGTTGGCAATTCTTTAATTTCAAAATGGCCGTTATAAAGTTGACGTGGATTCAGTATTTTTATTTACCGTGTTAATTTTAACTTAATTATTCGTTTTTCGAATTTATTTATTTTTCTAGCACTGAAAATATATTTAATAATTATTCAAGAGATGTTATTATTTTATTAAACTCGTTTGTTTTAACGTATTAAATAATAATCGAATTAAAAATTAAAAAAACTTTAAATGAAATGTTTTTAAATGATTTGTACTAAGCTCTTTTACTAAGTTATTAAAACTTAAAAAATTATTTAATAATTATTTTCAATTGAATTCATTATGGGTGCGAGTAACAGTAAAGATTTATCTTCAAACGAATATTTATTAAAATTTTCTGGTAAAGATCATATATCATGTTCGGATCAATTTTGGAATGTTTTTCTATCATTTTCTTTTAAACCGCCTTCATCAAAGTAAGTGGATAACGTGGAACTTTTTTTTTTTTTTTTTATTGCTTTTCTTATAATAATAATTTTAAATTCCTATCAGTTAACTGATAAAAAAAATTAATTTAATGACTTTTGTTTAAATAGTAAAAACAAAATGATAATTATTTCTCATGTTTGTATGATAATAAATTTTTATATTTACATATTATTATTATTATTATTATTATTATTATTATTATTTGTTCATTAGGTCTGAAAATGAAGTCATCAATGATAAATTGTCTAAAATATTTGAAAATTTATTAAAAAATAATTTAGAATCTGGTAATTTTGTTTCATTAATTCGTGTATTTATAAATAAATCGACTGATGTGTTGTCAGCATCATCGACTGGCAAGTATGTGTTTCGATATTGTAAGAAAATCATTTTTTTTTTAAAAGAATTATTTTAAAGTATTTTTTTATTTTTTTTTTTCAGTGAAATTCTTGTTTGGCAAACATATAATGCATTATTTATCATAAGATGTTTCACAAGATATTTAGTAGAAACTGTTAAAGAGGCTGAATATATTAGACACTTCAATGTAAAACCAATGATGGTAAATCAATTCGGAAACAATCTTTTTTTTAAAAATATTATTAAGTACTAATTATCAATTTAACACTATTAATTTTTTCAGGTATCACAGACAGTTGCAGAACAGCAATTAGATAATTTGAGTAATAAAAAAATACATGAAAATCCATTAGAATCCCTATTAGAATCACTTTTGGAAATTTTAATAGATGTTCCTCTCGATTTTCAAACATATAGTTTACATCTTGAAGTTGTCAATTGTTTATTAGTATTTTTAAGTGCGCAAATGTACACAAGGAAACCAGCTGCTAAATTAATTATATTCAAGTATGGAAAACAATAGAGTTTTTTTGTTAAATTAAATAAAATATTATTATTATCATCATCAACCCGAATGTTGTTTCTGAATTTCTAGAACTTTGATGCAAGGGAGACCGTCAATACATTCACCATTGTTAATAAAAACTTTACTCGGACATTTTATCAAGCAAGAAAAACCTTATGAAAGAGGAGGAGGAAGTATTGTCATTGGTCTCGCTTGTAAGTTTTTAAATTGCATTCTTTCAATGAATGATTTAGTTATTGTTCAGTTATTATTAATCGATATTGATTTTCAGCAAACATATGGCATATATTATCATTAGCTTACAAGAATTCGACAAATTTAGAACCGCCTAAAGGAATCACGTTAGCCAATCAAAGTTTATTATTGATATTGGTTTTAGTCAGTCATTGTACGGCAGAAAAAAATTTATTAAATCCTTATAGGGATTTTTTATTTACTTTTATTCATAATTCCCCCGGTTAGTATTTATGTAAATTAATATTATTTAACTTGTTGCGTATATTTTAAATATTTCACGACATCTTCATTTCCTTTTGTTTTTGATAAATAATTAAAATTATCGCGTTTACCGAAAAATTTTATTTTCATTCATTCATACATTTTAACGGCGAAAGGGAAATTAGGATTCTGGCGTTAAAACCGCGTACAATTATTGACAAAATTAACGAATTTTTTTTTTTTTTTACGTTCAGGTCATTTATCTTTAGGTTCAAATCCCGAAGAAATCCCCGTATCCTCCGTATCAGCTTTACAAATAAATTTCGATCATCTTTACGTGGCTTTATGTAATACGGCGGCTAACGAATGCAGCACTTTAATGTTGTATTTGTTATTACATAGAAATGAAAATGTTAAAAATTTCATATTGGCCCGAGCCGATTTAGAATATTTGGTGAGAATTTTATCTATAAATACCTATAAGATAATTTTTTTCCCGACCTCAATGTTATCGATTGTTTTTCCAGGTCGTGCCGATATTAAAAACTCTGTATAACATAACGGAAAGTAATTCTCATCACATTTACATGAGTTTAATTATTTTATTAATTTTATCCGAAGATGGTGGATTCGGTCAAACCGTTCATCAAATAACAATAAAAAATGTCACGTGGTACCATGAAAAAGTATTAACGGAAATTTCACTCGGGGGTTTACTCCTTTTAGTCGTTATCAGGACGATACATTACAACATGCTTAAAATGAGGGTAAAATCCCATAAAATTTTTCAATTTTTTTTTTTTTTAAATGCTCCCGCAAAAAGAAAAATATGCGTTTTTTTTTTTTTCAGGATAAATATTTACACACGAATTGTTTAGCCGCATTAGCAAATATGTCGAATAATTTTTGTAATTTAAATTCGTACGTTAGTCAAAGGCTATTAAGTTTGTTCGAAACTTTGGCAAAAAAATATCACAGGTTAGAAATAACATTGAAAACGAATATGGTGAAAATAAATTCGGAAACGAGGGAAAATGATGATGGGGAAAAAGAAAATTCGTTCGTCGAAATGGGAAAAAATTCAACGACTAGTCAATCTAAACCAAACGAAGAGAATTCCGTGAAGGAAACGATAATCAATGGAACTCACGAAAGCGATAAGGAAGACATGGCGATACAAATAAAAAGTTCAACGGATTTAGATGTGAAAAATTTAAGCGGGGATGAAGCCGTTATCAATGTTGATGATAACGCGTCTTCTGATATCGTGAGTTACCATAATTAATTAAAACGACGGCGACAAACCTGTTTTTTTTTTTTGTTAAATCAAAATAATTTTTTTTCGTTGTTTAAGGTACAAGATTTAAACGTGTTAGAAGAAGTTCTTAGAATGATATTAGAAATAATTAATTCATGTCTTTCAAATCAAATTCAACACAATCCGAATCTTGTTTACGCATTGCTTTATAAAAAAGACATATTCGATCCGTTCAGAACTCATCAGAATTTTAATGACGTCATACAAAATTTAGATTCGGTCATTAATTATTTTTCGGATAAATTAAAACAAGTTCAAACGGATTTGAGCGTCAATGAAGTTTTGTCGACGATAACACAGGGAACTTTGGTTTGGCCTTCGCACAAATTAAAGGTGAGTATAACGATTTAAAAAAAAAAAAAAAAATGCAAAAATTTTGTTAAAGAACGACTGATGATGGGGGGGGCGGGGTTTTTCCAGAAATTTCCCGAATTGAAATTTAAATACGTGGAAGAGGATCAACCGGAAAATTTTTTCATACCGTACGTTTGGAATTTAACGACTCAATTTTCTGGGATTAATTGGAGTTCGAATAATAAAAAAATATTCTTTCTCGATTCGGAAGGTTGATTGACTAAACCTTTAAAGAAGAAAGAAAGAAAAAAGAAGAGAAAAAATACTACAACTTACCCGACTTGTTGTGCTTTCATTATTTCCTTAAAAAAACAATTCTACCTGAAATTATAAAAAAAAAAAATTATTTAAACGTTTAAATGTATTTAAATCTAACCGTCAAATTATGTAATCATTCATAAAAATTTTGTTTTAGCATAAAAAATATATTTTTATTAATAAAATTTTACCGTTATTTATTTATTTATTTATTTAAACGACTTTTTCCTAACGTTTATTAATTCGCATAATAGAATTTTAACGGTTTTTTTTTTCAAACATTCGACAATTTTTCTGATTGACGTAATGGCGACAAAATAATTTTGTAGAATGTTTTATTAGTACATATACGATTATTTTTATTTACATATATATATATTAAATAAAATTAATAATTGAAAATTTTATGTAGATAAAAATGAATGTAAATCACGTTAGACGAGTAAGACAATTATATAAAGTTATATTAAAAATGCATAAAAGTTTACCGGATGAAATAAAAGCAATCGGTAACGGTTATGTTAGAGATGAATTTAGAAGGCATAAAAATTGTAATGCAAATGAAAGTTCAATATTTTTAGAAGAATGGACGGTAAGTATTTATTTAATTTGCGGATTATTTATATTTCTTAAAAGAAATATTAATTTTATAAATAAATTAAAAAAAATAAAAATGATGGAATTTTTTAAATTAGGTTAGAAAATGATTTCCTAACCTAACTTTGTTAGTAAACCTAATGGTAAACTCCATTATTATTCATTTTAGAAATATGCCATCGTGTTAGCCGAACAAATTGGGATAAATAAACCGCATCCTACAAAAAAAATAGGAAAAAAATTAACTTTAGATGTTTTGGATAGCATGTCAGAAGATCAAATAGTACAGTTGTATAAATTAATGTTAGCAGCTCATGGGAAAACTGATGAAGAAATTGCATCATTCGAAAAAGATTTAAGAACAAACGGGTAGTAGTAGTATACTTAACAAATAGTCGAGTAAAAAAAAAAAAAAAAAACATTAAAATCATTCATATAATTTTAAAAATTCTACTATTTCATATAGTATTATTATTATTATTATTTTTTTTTAAAACATTCTTTATTGCAATTATAATATTTACTTTTGTTTATTTTTTATAAGAAGTCAATCATCATTTACTAATCGAATCAGAAATTAAATGATTTAAATAAGGAAAAGTTGAAAGGGGGCAAGTCTGAAACAGATAAGCATCATCAAACACATTAGAAATCATTTTGTCGAAAACTGAATAATAACAATAATAATAAGTCTTTTTTCCCCCCTTTATCATAATTTATGTCTATGTAAAATTATAAACGAGTAAAAAATAAAAAAAAAGATTTTTTATTAAAAATAAATAAATAAAATAAAAATTAAATATTTTTCCTATAAAATTTTTCCTTTTGTAAAACGATTTCCCTTACATCGGTTTTTTTAATGAAAAAATATTAGTAAAAAAAAAAAAAAAGAAAAGTTTTTTTTTTTTTTTTTTTTTTTTTTTGAGGTTTTTTTAAAGAATTCAAAATGGCGTAGAAAATGATTTTAGTTAAGTTACCCTGGAAACTTAAAGGATGGAATCAATATTGAAAATTCACGGACGGAGCCTTTTTTGTTAAGGCGGAGCTAAAAGTTTTTAACTTTCACAATTTGGATGTGACATGTTTCCATGGAAATTACGTTTTACGTTTCCAGGGAAATCCATAATTTTCTTTTAACCCGAGTAAAAATATATATATTTCATTATAAAAAGAAGTCTATTATTATTATTATTATTTGTCAAAACAAAAATTTTACTACCGAACGTTATAAAAAAAATATTTATTAAATAATTTATATTAAAATGATATTATTATTGTTATAAATAATTAATATTAATTATTTTATATATTTTAATTAATTAATTCTTATGTATAAAATTTTTTCCTGCTGCTGCTGCTGCTGCATTTCAACAGCGATCGATCGAATTATGCTTACGATTTTTAAATCGTTATTATTATTATCAACTCTTATCATAAAAAAAAAAAAATTTTACGATGTTTTCGCGCCAAAAAAAACAGGAAATCCATTTTTTTTTTATTATCGATACGTAAACGATTATGTTTTTCATCGCGATATTATTTTAAAACGCCCAAAAACGAAATTTAAAATTTAAAAAAAATGATAAAATAATACCGTAGTTTTTTCTCCGTCCCCGCCCCTCACCTCCCCCCATTAAACCCCCCATTAGCCTCCTGCCCCCCAAATAAATCATTTCAATGTATTGAATTTTCATTTCAAAATTTTTTTTTATTGAAGGCAACAGATTTTTTTTATCGCGAATTTTAAAACTCGGACGTTAAATAAAAAAAAAATATGCGCGAATGATAAACAAAAGATTTTATAAACGAATATCAATAATAATAATAATAATAATAATAATAAAGAAAATTCCAGATACGTTAAAAAAAAATTTTTCCAACGACGAAAAAAAAAAAGGAAAGGAAAGGAATTTAAATTAAAATCAACGAAGTCATGCAAAAATAAAAAAAAATAAAAAAATAAACGAAGAGAGAAAAAGAGTGAGAGAGAGAGAGAGTGAGGGGTGGGGGGATGCATTACGTGAGAGGGAGGATATAGGGGGGGAGGGAGAATACAAAACGATGCGTTCACAACATCCCAAAATCCAGATTTAATCGAGAAGGAGTAAAAAAAAAATAGAAAAAAAATTCTTTTACGATATAAACAGAACAACAAATGGCGCACAAAAGGGTGGATGACGGGGAAAACTTTAACTTTAGGGGTGATTTTTAATCAAAAATCTCTTTTTTTCGTCTTCTTTTTTCTTTGTTATTGTTAAATCAAAATACAAAATTTTTTTTTTTTTTTTCTTTAACTTCAAACTTTGAATTAAACCAACAATTCGAAATCAACCAACCTTATGTGTGTCATTTATTCTTTAAGAAAACAAACAAACAAACAAACAACAACAACACCGATCGATCGATATTTTTTCAATCCAACAAAATAATAAAAAAATCAATCATGACTTTTTTCTATACGTTCAGATCACGTTAAAGTTTTTCCATTTTTCATCATCATCATTATAATTATTATTATTATTAAATTATTTCACAGCCTTATTGATCGATTCTTGTTATTTTTATATAAATTACAAACGCCATAATAAATTATTCGAAAAGAAAAACAATTTTTTTTTTTTTTAAATTAAAAAAACTGTTTTTGAAAGTTTTCTTGTCGTGGTTAAGGGCGTAAGACAACAAACAAAAACCAATCAGATTTTTTTTTGCTGTTGGTTGTTTAAAAATTGTTCAGATTTTTTTTTTTTTATACAACTCTTTCCAATATTTCCCTTATTATAAAAAAAAAAAAAAAGAGAAAAAGTTACTGTGAAATATTAAAATTTTTTTTTTCTAATTATTATTATTGAATGTTTTAAATTCTTCATTTTTAAAAAAAAAATATCAGATTGTACAAAATGAAAAAAAAAAAAAAAAAAAGAAAAAGTTTTCTTTTCCTTCCTGACAAGATATTCAATTTTATTAAAAGAATAATAATGATGATAATAAAACGTTGAAAGAAAAAACTCCCCAATGGAATTCAATGGTGCAATCAATCGCATTTCCGCTTTCCATTTATGACAGTGAGTATGGTTTTGCACGACCAACAAACACAAACGGATACCCAACGGTAATGGGCAGGTATCAACTTAGGGCATGATTTCGAAAAAGTTTGTGAAATTATATGGGGATCCGGATACCGTCGGTAAACGCACAACAGCTAAAAAAACTGTGGGGAGAAGAAAATTCCAATACTCGTGGGTGTGTCGTGGACAAGAATCGCCGATAGAAATTTTTCTAAGAGGATTTTTAACAATTTAAAAATAAGAAACCGAGACAGGAAACGGAAATGATTTTTGCGGGGGCCCAAACACATCCTACAAAAAAAGGTTTTCAAGCAGAACCATCACCAACGATAATCAAGCACTTAGGTACCGGAACCGGAAACGAATGGTAAATAACTCCAACGATCACGATTAAAAGTTATAATAATAATAATGATAATAGTAATAATAATAAGAATAATATAGAAATTGTTTATAGGATACATTTCATGACGTCATTAATTTATATTTAAATTTTAATAAGATTTCGTTTGAAAAATTATTTTACACTTTCGAAATTTTCCAATGAATGCAAAAAAAAGGAAGGAAGGAAGGAAGGAATTCGAGTTTAAAAGGAAGTAATTGAAATTTATAAAGAACACAAAGTTCATAAAATAAAAAAAATTTCCCTTGATTTGTTGGATTAAAGGATTTGAGGTGGATTTAAGGTTGAAGGGGTTTACGAATCGAATTAAAATCGGTTTATTATTATTATTATTATTTTCGAATAAATATATATATAAAATTTAAAGTTATTTGAATTTTTTTGTTTTCCCCCTCCCTGTTTTTGGTTTTTTTAAGGGCGCGATATAAGGTTTTTCAAAAAAAGAAAATTTTATTTGAAGGTGTTTTCCTTGTTATAACCATAAAAATATAGTTAATCAATTTTTACCCCCCTTTTTTTTTATAATTTAAATATTTTTTTTTAATAATTAATAAAAGGTTTTCCTTTTTTTTTTGTTAATAAAAATTAAATTTTTCTTTTGTTGTAATAATTTTCCGGAAATATTATTTTTTTACGAATTTTAATATAAATAAATTTTATGTAAACACCTACGCACGTTTTTAATTTCATTTTTTTTACCCCCTTAGACTTAGTTGTTATGAAAATGATTTTACTGAACAACTGAACAATAATAATTTAACATTTATTTTTGTTTAAATAAATTTTTATTTATTTATTAGAATTTTCCATTTTGTTTTTCATTTTTTAAGTAAATTTTTTTTTTTTTGAATGTTCAGATTTAAAATGAAATTTTTTTACCTTTTTCAGCAAAAATAATAATAATAAAATTGGCTAAAGGAAAATTTTTAAATAACAAAAGAAAAAAGAAGGAAAAAAGGGAAGAAAGAAAACCTGAAATTATAGATTGCAGACATGATGATGACGTAACAGATCGATCGAGCGAAGTTATTATGGGCGAAACTACGACGAAACATTTGGAAAATGGAGCAAATTTCTTTTCTTTTTTTTCTCCAAAAAATAAATGAGAAAGAGACGAAGAAGACGTGAAGAGAAAAAAAAGGAATAATAATAAAAAGAAAAAAAAATTTTAAAAAGACAGAGAGAGAGAAAGAGAAAAATAACAATGAAATTGAATGAAATTTTTTCTTTTTTTTTTCAATGCCTCCAATTATTATTATTATTATGACACTATTCCTTCATAATTATATTTTAAAAAAATTTTATTAAAATGAAGTGATAATTAGTCGAAGAATATTAATTTTTTCTCCTTACCCCCCCCCTCCCTTTCCAAAATTAATTAACTGAAAATTATTTTTCTTTTCATTTTTTGCCAAAAATTATTTACAAAAAGGAAAATTTTTAACGTAAAAAAAATGTCAATTAAATTTCCGGACAATTGATTTTTTAGAAAAATGTATAAATTCATTAATCAAATTTTTAAATTGAAATTTTTTTTTTGTTTATATTATTTTAAAGTCATTTTATTATTATTATTATTTAATTCTTTGAAAATAAGTAACCCTTTGTGAATTATGTTATGCATATGAAAGAGTAATTCAATTTAAATTTCATTTCCTCTCGTACTAATTATTAATTTTCTCTTTTTTTTTTTTTCTTAAACGTGTGTGTGTGTTTTAAAACAACAAAAACAACCCAAAACTCATTTATTATTATTATTATTATTATTTTTGTTTTAATTTTTTTAAAAATTTACATTTTCGATTAATCATTGTCGTCGTTTTATGAAAAAAAAAAAAAAAAAAAGGATATTGTTTAAATTTTGTTTTGTTTCATTTTTTTTCCTTTTTTTTCCTTTTTTTCCTT